CCCCCCGCCCACACCCCATTTCAAAATAAAAGCCCCAAAAAGTGAATTCTAACTGAAATGCTTGTGATGAAGCTTTAATAACCTCTGTTTATGGGTGTCAAACATTAAGATTATGTCTCCTCTCCCCCTCTCTCCCCCACCCAGTCCCACCCTTTCAAAATAAAAGCCTCATGGATTAACTGTATTTAAACGTTAAGCTCAACATTAGGCTTTTTTGTTGAAATAATGAATGCTCTTACTAATACTGCGACTACTGCTACTAATATTTCTGGTATTACTGTTACTACTACTGCTACTACTTCTACTGCAACTTTTGCTGTTGCTTCTATTACTACTTCTACTACTACTACTGATACCATCACTATTATTCCTACCACTACTGCTATTACTACCACTACCACTACTATTATTACTTATACCACAACTGCTACTACTGCTATTCCTGCTACTACTACAGCTATTAGTACGACTGCTACTAGTACTACTGCTACTGCTACTTTAAAAACTGGCTTTACTATTACTACTACTTATTCTACTACTACTACTGTTATATTAAATACTACGACCACTACTACAGCTATTACTACGACTACTGATACTACTTCTTCTTCTAATTACTAATACTTCAACAATTTCTACTACTACTGCTACTACAAATATCACTACTGCTACAACTAGTACTTATTCAAATGCTAATACTTCTACTGCTAATAATACTTCTACAACAACTACAACTTCTACTACTACTACAACAAATATCACTACCGCTGAAATTTTTTTAAGCTACAGAAACCGTTCAGCTCTTTCAGGAGAGGGGTGATATGACTTCATATTTGTAATCTTTCAACTTTTTGAATTATTAAGCTTTTTGCAATTGTTTTTAAATTGGATATCTATTTTCAGCAATGTTTTTGCAATTCATTTCAGCTTTCAGCATTCCAACGCATTTTCAGCAGGAAATGCATTTTCTAGTTTTATTTATTTTTCTAGAGGTTTTTATTACAATTGCATTTGAACTTTTCTTTCCTTCCCAAGGCTGATTTCCATTATAGGACAGCATTTTCAAGAACAAGGTATACAACCAACATTGTGACAAAATACATAGAATTATTCAAGGTAAAAGGGACACCAAGGATGTTATTGATTATATAAAATCCATAGAGAAAGCTCTTTTTGGAATTTATTCATCAGATATGATCCAGCTTCTAGGTTAGTAATAAGGGATGTATGCCTTTACATCTGTTCGTGTGTCTGTTATCGAACCCTAGGCTGATAAGAGACAAGAAAATACATGACAGAGAGAGGATGACATATGACAAATGCATTTAGAGCGTAATGACTCCATGGTTGCGTTTTAGCTGACAGACGCAGCAGGAAGCCACTCAATCCATCTCTGCTGACAAAGGCCCATCAATAATGAAATTAATGCGAAATGGAGAGTTGATTTCTTCTGTCAGCATCGGGGAAAATCCTAACGGCAGCCAGATGTTGGAGAGGCGTTTGTCTCGAGCGAGAACAAACAGTGTTATAGTTGTGTAAGTTAGCTCAGCATCAAAGAACGCTAAGTTTTGGAAGGATTTTGTTTCTGATTCCAGATGGTGTAAATGGGGCACAAACTGTCGCCTTCTTTTGCAGCCATGCTAGCAGCACATCACTAGGTGCTTTGTCGGGCACCTGTGAAACTAACGACACCCCTGTTAGCCTCAGCTGTAGGCTACATTGTGTAGCGCTAATTAGCAAAGGTTAGCACGCTAACACACCAAACCAATATATATTGGTTCAAATATGAACTTGATAACTTGGTAAACGTTTAACCATTTTTGTTGTAATTTTCCTCGTGAGCATGTTGCCATGCTAGTGTTAGCATGTAGCTCACAGCACCGCTGTGCATACAGGTTCACAGAGCCGCTAGCACTGCTCTAGACTGTTAAATTCATGTCAGAAAAAAGCTTTGGCTTTGTTTTTTGGAACATTTGTGGAATTAAAACCATCTGGACAGAAGTGACCGTTTACTCGCATCCTACGCCCAAATGCCATCAAGAAAACAAGGCTAGGTGGAGCTGTAAGGACTACATCACATTCCCAAGCATGAACGTGGAGAACAAAAAAGTTTAACATACTTTAAAACGAGTGTAGACATCTTGTGGACATGACTTAATGGCAATGTCAGAGATTAAATGCAAAGTGTGCCCACTGTTAGATTTGACTGTGGTGACCTGATGAATATGAAACATGAAGCAAAGACAGACTGAGAGAATGCAAGAAATAAAAGACCTTAAAAGACCCTTTTGGGGAACCCGGCCTCTGTTATTGTCTGCTGAGGATTACTGTGTGATGAGTTTTCAATTTGATCAGAAAAGGTTGTAGTAGGCCATGAGAAAGATAGAAGCTGGAGCATTACGGCAGCGCACTTAATGCCTGAGCAAAGAATTCTGCCACGGACACAAAGGCTGTGTTAAGATATGAAAGGATTAAAACAGAAGTTCCACCTAAATTCTCTTCCACAACTGGTTATTGTTCATAAACTGAAAAAAGTTTGAGAAATGCAACGCATCGTCAAAATCCAAAGATCTCCCCACCTGGGTCCTCCGGGGTGGAAGTCTAGTTTTAGTGGCCTCTGCTAGATGATCAAACACTGTATTCAGAAGCAAGAACACCAGAAATATGTGCATCCTTAAGCCTTAGTCCCCTAGACAAAGAAGGGTCATAAATATTGGCAGAAACTGGCCCAACAACTGGTTGACCACAAGATTTTGTTGAATACCAGACACAGGCCTAGAGTCTGGTATGTAAAACACAACCCCAGGAAAGTGAGCTTTTTAAAAAAAGAATTTTTTATATCAGGGAAAAGAAAAGTCACTTTGAAGCTTTCACACAAGGTTTTCAAAGCCTCTAACAAGTTAAAGATGCAAGAGAGAGATGAAGCACTGTGATTGCAGGCTGAGAGAGGGAATGACAGAGCTTTAAAATGAACTGATTGATGGTCGGACGTATGGAGGTCTTTTTCTTTCAACACAGGGCTGAAACCAGATGCTAGCGCTACATCACTCCAGAACATCATCTTCCCTTTCACGATAAGGAGATACTGAAAGATTCATTCATGTTAAAAAAAGTTTCAGTTCCTGAATGTGTGTGTGTGTGTGTGTGTGTTTGCGGGTGGGGGGAACAAACCTCTTCTCACATCATGAAAGTTTGAGCAACTGATCCAGAACCAGGCAACAATTAATAAAATCCAGAGTATCAGAAGGGCAACAGAAGATTTAATAGTTCTGGTAACTGGTCAGTAAAGTTAGTACAGTAACACTCGGGATACAGCAAAGAAGCTAAGGCGATCCGAAAAATGTTCTTCTGTGTTTTCACTGTCAAAATGAATAATATGCACAGAGGTATATGTATATTTAGATATGTGTACTGTCTGGGAAGAAAACTTCATTCAATGAAACAACTCATATATTTTAAAATGGGTAAAATATGCTTATTCGCTTTCTCGCCATTCAAATAGCCACTGTTTGTGTCTTACCACAGCAACCTTTATTTATTTTTGAAGATAAGTAAAGTTTGAGCACTACGAGCCCTATTAATGACCCTTAGGCTATTACAGACAGTGAGCATTAATGGTCACATTAGTTTCCTTCTGCATCTTTATGATCGGTGTTATTGAATCATTCCATTAGGTTTTGCTACATAAATCTATGTTGTTCTTGCCTCCTTTCACACCGACGCTGTTTGTACCTTCGCGGCTGCATTCTGCCTGCAGGAGTGTTTATCCGACTAAAACTCAAGGCTGCACACTGAAATCCACAGGGACTGCTATATTTGTCAACAATAAGTTGGGGGAATCAATTTAGCCTGAAATCCACAACGGCATTCACGCGCCGTCTCATCAGATTCTTGCAGAGCAATATCGAGTGGACGCCTGTCACTGACGTTCGAAGTGAGAGGGGAGCAGACAGTGCTGTGCTGTAATAGTACACTGTCCATCATTGTTACCCTCCCAGATGGACGTATAGCTCTAATCCTGATCATTTAATAATAAATGGCGAGCAGAAGTCTGTCACAGATTACCGACTTGCAATCACACAAAGTAAAACCACCTCTCAGGTACTGTGTGCACTTAGGCGTTGGAGAGTCTCTATTTATAACCTCTACTGCTCCTGACAGAGTGGTGGTTATTGGAAGAGGTATAAGCCTGCCTGTACCACTAAAATCCATCGTGAGTCTGGCACTGATGGGGTTTGTGGGAGTCAGACAGCATCCTCCCCCCCCCTCCGGGCCAGCTGTGAGGAGTCAGTGGTGGTGACTGGCTCACCAAAATCATCTCTGAGCCATCTCCCCTCTTGCAGGAAAACAAGCAAGGCCCACTCCCGTGTCCACGGAAATTCATTTGTGCCAGCATCCGAGGAGGTTTAACATGCTCGGGGAAGCTGGCACAGAGCTCTGGCTCTCTACTGATTTACATGTTGTTGTTCTTGGTGGTCTTTCTTATGCCAGGGCTGAATCCAAGACAAATTGTACTGATTGTTTGTGACAGTGCGCCAACACAAACCATATACACATATACATATATATATATATGTATATGTATATATCTATATGTGCCCATGATTTATGCGGATTTAAATGCCATAATGAGTTGAGGATTTATGCCGGTGAATGGGTTAATGTCCTGTGGTTTGACCATGGGTTTGACGCAGGAATGGTTAATAGGACAGGCAGCAGGTGGAGAGACATGCAGACTGATGAGCAGCAGCAGAGGAAGCCACTGTGTGCTGACAGCCGTGGAGAAAAGAAGCAACGATTGCACGTCGCTTATTCGCCCCATGCAGCAGGCAACATTGTTCTAATTGCAGGGTTTAGGCACCTTTAAAAAAAAAAAATAGCGCTTCCAGGCATGGTTTCTCCGTCTGCCTCTCTTCGTCGAACGGGACGCCGGTGAATAACAGTCCATTGCCGGGTAGATGACTGGAGGAACTCTCGTCGAAGTCAGCGGACAGAGAAAGCGGGGTTTTTTCTATGGGAAATGAATGTGACCGGGAAGCAGCAACCTGAGCTGATCGAGCGACCCGCCTGCCTTTTGGTTCCAACTTCGGCAAGTAAACCTGTCCGTGTGGATGGAATTGACTCGGTTAGCGATGTGCAAAGTGTCGGGGCAGGTACGAGGAGCATGCACGCCCGTGCAATGTTTGGTGTGCGGATGGAACTCCAGGCTACCTTTTTAAAAACCCGACTGTTTAGTGTTTCGTTGCTTATAAATACTTGTTGGTGGCTAGAGGGCTCTGATATAAAACTATTTACCACATAAATTGCAGCATCTGCACATTTCGGCATATATTTAGCAAACTATGGTGCTCGTACTCGTGCAAACGTCTAACTTTTACCATTAACGTTTCACAGGGTACCGTTACTCCTTCCACGCAAACACCGTGATCATCCAGAACGGAAGCGACTTCTGTGCGCGTTGCTAACAAGTTTGAAACGCATTTCATTGAAATACTGTTTATTTATTTACTATTACGTTCATGCCGAGTTCCCCACAGGACTATGCTCATTTCCCGGAGTCCCTTTGTTCTGTCGTACGAGACGTGTAATTTGACCGATAAGCAAGTACACGTTAAACTCTCGGATATGTGAGTGCAGGCTGGTGTGACGTCCCTTATGATGAAGCGGTGCGTTTTTTGGGTTGATTTTCTATCTGTTATTTGTTGTTTGATAGGTCACAGCAGGTGTGCTATACAGACACACAAACACTGGAGCAGCTTAACTATTATAACTTTGCATTTTGTTGACGTTTCTTTGACGACAGTTTTGAGAGATGTTTGATTACCGTGTAGCTTATTTCTCCATATGCCTGTAATCAACATCCAGTTTCAATGAATGCCAGATAAATATATGCCTGGCAGGTTGAGCATTAATTATATCATGAATGTTGCCATTATGTTCTTTTGTCAGACTCAGACTTGTATCGAGCTGAGCTTTCTTTCTCAAGGGCTTCATATTTAATTGGGCATTGTGGTTTAGGCTACTTGAACAAGAAAACAAATTATTTAGACTTTTTTTTTTATTTCACAGCGGTTCATATTCTCTGAGTGGGCTGTTAAAAGCATGAAAACCCACCTCTGATTAAATATTGCATTGTATCTACAATTCCAATCAAAGAGGGGGGAAAAGATATATTTCAGTTTTTACATTATGATGATTTTTCTAATCTTAATTTTTGCATTGCTTTTCTGAACCGGTCAGTCATATGTATTTTTATTTTTTTTAATATAAAAGTTGAGAGAATTCATGCTTCCATCCTCTTCTGGCTAAACATGACACACCGTTTTATTTGCAGCATGTTGTCCAGCCGCCGGCCTGTTAATGCCTCCGCTGGACACATGGCACCTTTTGATTTCATCGGTTCCCTGGTGCCCCCCTTTTGTGGCCACTTTCCGATCACGAAGCATTCCGCTTTTGAAAAACCGGATACCTGAGCCTCGAGGGACACAAGTCTGCGGCTTAATTCTGGCTCATAGAGTGTGCCCAGATCTCACACATTTCCCACTCTCCACTTACCACTGAGTGATGGCTAAAATTACACAGCAAGCAGCGATTTCCTGTTGAAATGGGCTCTCCCACAAACACAGTTAAATGCGTGCAACGCTCTCACTCCATCGTGCATGTTTCCGATCACCCGCATTTCAGGGTTGTTCAGCGCGGACGTGATTGCGGTTCGACGGGAAGTGAACTCGAGACTGTGCAAGGCCCTTAAACAGTTCATCAGAAAGCACTTGCCAGAAGCCATCAAATCAAATTCAGCAATTCTAAAACGGCTCTTTAAAAATCTTGCATTTGGCATTTTGAAACATACCGATACACTAATCAAAGGCTTGTGTTGAAGGCCCGTTGGGTGTTGAAGGTGTTTCAACAGTCGTCTAGATGAAGTAGACTGGTTCTTGTGATCCAAACACAAGCAGGACGGCCGGTGTCCGCAGTTTCCCCACATTCTCCATCCCCGTCTTGGTTCAAGCTGCATTTTTGTCATATAAAATGCACCATGTACATTTCTGTAGACCTTTTACAATCTCCTGGAGTGTGTGCGTGCGCGCGTGCATGTGCGTGCGCGTTCTTCGGAACAACTAGCTATCAATCTAGTTCATTTACTAAATTGGCTTGCACCCTTCAGGCTAAATAAATGCCAGAACTGCAAATACGTACTTACTTCCTTTTGTGTAAATTGGTTTGCTGGCAAACATCTGGAGCTGGCCGCATCAGATGTTGGCGAGTACAAACTTGTTAATGATATCAAAATTACATTTTCAATTTGAAATTGCATTTCACCCAATTCCGCCCATTTTTCACTTAGTTTGGTGGGTAAAAATAGTTTTGGCTACTTTTTGTATGGTTTGGACGGTGTCCGCCGACACAGGGTTTGGCCGTATTCCTCCTCTCAGCAGGCTCAGCTTGACGCGCGGTGACCAATGACCATCAAAACCAAAATGTCGTTTATAACAACCAAGTTTAAACTTTTTTTCCTATTCCATGTATATTTTTTGCTATAGATGCAAGACTTGTAAAAGCTTACATCTGTTCATATGAACAGTTTATCTAATAGACTTGTTTTATCTCATGTTATGGCTTCTATTTAACAATTTTCATGAATGTAACTGCAGATTTGAGTGAGTGTGTGACTGAAATGAACGTTCAAAACGATGATGCCACTCCGTGACGATTAGGAGGGTTGTATTATAGACTTTAGTTCTACTTCTCATTGTCAGTCCAATCTGGCAACACTGGATTCAACAACCCGTTTCTTTAATTTAGTGATGAGCCCTACTTAAAAATCTTGTGTTTGTGCGAGTTTAATTTTTAGGATGCAACTCAAGCTTATTGAAACATTTGTCTCCTATAGTTTCATGCAAGGATGACATGTTTTTTGCAGGCCAAACAGGAAGTTAGCATCGCACTGGATCTTTCGGCAAAAAGCCAATGAGGTTTTACCATCGATTTTGGGGTATTGGAGAAAATAAACTCTGCGGCAAACGCAAGTTTATGATACTTGCACGTTTTGTTCAGCAAGATAATCTTCACAAATGGAAACCACTGTTGTGATTTTTGAAGCGTGAATGCAATCGACGGAGGTAAACGGCTAACGATAGGCTGCCGACAAACTACACCACTAACCGCCATTTTTAAGACGTGTAAAAGCTTCAAAACTGAAAAAGGAGTATCTATTGATCTATTTTACATCGTAGAACAAAACATTAACATCTTTTAAACTTGGGTTAACCACAGACCTTATTTCATTCATCTAACCAAAAACCCGTTCAGAAAGGTAACCGGAAGTGCAAAGATGCTGACTCATTTCCGGGTTTTAGGGCTCACTCCTGCAGCACTCTATTTAACAATTTGTCATACGCAGTCCGCCTGAGAAGTGAGCAGGACATCTTCCTCTGAGCAAATATGCCTGACCACACTGACACTAAAATACTTACAGTGATGGATAACCATTCTCTCACTGCCTTGCAGGATTGCACTGGCTGTTGGTGACATTAATGTGTTGGTCAACATAACCTTTTACAGAAGGGAACGAGCGGTAAGGACAACCCGGATCACTAAAAATGGGATTAAATATAGTGTGATTATTGGATAATCAAACCCACGTCCCTTTTTAAAGGCAGGATAAAATACAGTGACATGCATGTCGTATAAAATTTCCAACTGCCTGTGGTCACACGCCTGACGGTCTCTTGGCAGGAGCCGCAGAGGCATAATTATACCCCAGTGGAGTGTGAAAGTTGACGCTTTTGTATTCAGGAAGTCAATCATATTTTAACCAAATCACTCCTGCTGGAGCATGAACATGAATTCACTTTATAACTTTTCATTTTCTCGGAGCCACTCGGGTAATTGGAAATGACACAAAACAATCAGACCTTATTATTGTCAAATATATAAAAATGTCAGTTTCCTAAAAAAAAAAAAAAAAGGTCATTTAATCTCTTTCAGTGCCTGAAAAATATTCACTTTTTGTCCCAATCATTGGAGTCGGTCCTTCAAGATAACCGGTGTAATTTAATGACCCTAGATTAAGAATAGAAACCCGTTGTTTGACTCCTCCAAGACTTTCCTCCTTTTGCTTTATTAAATGTTTCTGCACCAAACTTTATATATAGACATACAGTATACATATCTAGATATCATTTCCTGGCAGATGGCTGCACAGTTTCACTTTTGAAGACGTATGAACTAATGACGGGAACTCAAGGAGACCCATGAGAGTTGTGGAATGGGCCAAAGGGCAGACTCCAGTGTTACATCATAAATCTTTTTTTAAAGATTATAATTAGTCCCTGTAGGAAGTGCTAAATTACATATATAATAGTGTTATGCACACTCGTATTCCATAATTCAGCCGACTACAAACGCAGGCTGTAATTAAAGTCTTAATTAGGTGCCGTTTTCAATTTTTAAAGCGTCGAGAGGATATGTTGTCGTAAATCCTGATGCGTCAAAGCAAGTTTCGTTGTCGCTGCTTGAAGCCTTCCTTGAAATGTTTCCCCGGTAAATAAAGGGAAAGTCGTCCTCTGCATTATTAATACCCACAGCGTTTCATTAGCATTCTTATTTAGATTCGAGGCAGGGAACTTATGCATTTTAATGTCCCCATTCATTTCCAAGTGAGAAGACATCTACCTTGCCCTTTTACCAGCCGCTAGTGGATTTCTTTCTTACCACTTATAACTACGCTTTAAAAAAGAAAAAAAAACATTTTTATTTTTTTTTTCATCCTTGAAATGGGAAGAAACAAATACTGGAAATATTCACAGTCCCAGATTGGTTCCTCAAAAACCTACATTCACCCTGAATTGCTCCTCCCACAGTGCCAACATTAGAACACCCAATCCCCACTCATGCATAACTCCTAACTGTTACTGCATTGTTGATTGTGTGTTTTTCTGTTTGTATCATAGCAAGGCAAAAAGACACAAGCATTATACTCTAATTATATATTAAAAAAAGGAAAGGTACTGTTTCTAGCCTTGTCTACTAATTTCCTTCATCCTGTCTCTTGCGCTCACACAACCACATGCAATAATCTCACACGTT